GGGGTGTGCCGCCGGGTGGTAGCGGGTGCCATGGTGGTGGCTGTGGTTGTGGTTACAGTGGTGGTGAAAAGCCTGGGGATCCAGTCTGAAATACAGCAAAACGCAATGAAGGATGGTGCTTTGCAACCCGCTCCGGCGGAAGGCAAAGCCACTCGGGCTTTTGGGGGGAGATGGCAGGAGAGAGGCTTTTGCGGGGAGGGCTACCGCACCCCCAAAAGCCCAAGAGCCCTCTTCCCCTCCGCACTCCGGGTCCCAGGGCACGGCCCGGCTTACGGGTCCGGCAGCTGCCGGCACGGGGTGCGTGTCCCCCCAGCACCGCAGTCCTGCCTCTCCCCCCACCCTGGCACGGGGTAGCCGTGCTCTCAGGCAGAGCAGAGCTGCGTGCCCAGCGCAGGTGTGGCCATGAGCTTTTCTTTCCTGGAAAAATCAGTGTTTCAGGTTTATCGGCATGAAATCAGGTGGGCTAGGATGGCCAGCCCCTCGGGAGTACCAGGAAAGGCTAGCTTTCCAGGACCCAGGGCTGTGTCACATCGCCACGGTGCAGCACGGCTGCTTGCCGTGGGCTGTGGAAGAGAGGGGCAATTTTAACCTCCTTATGGGGAGGTAAACCCCTTCCCGAGTTGAGAACAAGTCCAGGCACATGGACTAACCTCTGAGCCCTGGCTCTGGAGAGCACTATCTGGGGAAGGACTTGATGGGTTACTGCTACAGATGAAAGGTCCTGGCAAGACCAGAAGAGCCAGCCTGCCCGTTCGAAAGCCTAAACCAAGAGAGAGGGACTGACCGCAGACAAGGGAGGCTCACCAAAGTCCATGAATTTGACGTGCTCCTGCTGGGGCTTCTTCACCAGGATGGTCTTCTTCTTGGAAGCTTTGATCTGCTTCAGCAGGGCCCCTTGGACATCAGCGGCCGTGTAGGAAGTGGCTGATCGTAGCCAGGAGGAGAAAGGAGAAAGGCAGAAGTGAAGATGGAGGCTCACCTAGCAGTTTCTCTCTCCTGACCTCCCCACAATGCATCCAAATCATTCCTTTCCCTAGGGAAATGCTTCCATCCTTCCAGGCAGCAGCTTAGAGCGCACCTCCTCCCAGCATCTGTTGATTTTGCTGGACAGAAGACAGAGCCTTGGCAAATTTTAAAAAGGTTCTTTCACGGTCCTTGCCACGTGCGTGTTCCTCAGGCTGGAAGCCCCACTGGGAGAGCCTGCTCCCTCCTCAAGCAGATGGTGATGCCACAGAGAATGAGCACCGGGAAGGATCTTACCTGGGTCAAAGTGGGACTCCACAATGACACGGACAGCGCTGCTCTGCCCCAGGTCTCGGACACGGATGCTCTTGAAATCCTTCTTAACATCAGAATTGCGGAAAAGCTCATCCAACTAGTTGGTCGGAGGTGAAGGAGAAAAAATAAACAAACTGATTAACGGGGAGATCCTAGGACATAGGTCCTTTCAGTAAAAGGTTTTGAGTCTCAGCAAGTCTTCTTGGTTTCAATCCGCAGGTGTTTGCATCCAAACCTTTGCAAGACATCCCACTGCCACATGAAGAGAGCAGGGCTCCCTTGTGTAGGGTGATAATTTCAGTCGTTCCCTATTCTTTATGGTCTGCGGTCAAAGGTAAGAACAGGATCCAGAAATAGTGTGGGGAAAGCGAGCTGTCCCCAGCGTACCCGTGAAGAAGAGTGGAACACAGCCAGACCAGACTCCTTGCAGTTCATATAGGGATTTTCTATTGTGTGGCATCTAAGTCTTACTGATCTCTTCTAAAGCTGCATAAACCTGCTTAGGCACTTTGGAAAATCCCATAAGGCCCCATTCTGCATCTTTAAGTACCTGATTGCCTTTTAAAACTTGGCTCTCGGACATTGTGGGATTTGTCTGAAGTCACACGAAGGAGACGGCGACAGTCCAAAGCTTACAGCAAGTCAGGACTTTAACTTAACCCTTGCTAGCTATCTGTCCAGCCTCGTGTCGGACCGGCAGTCGTCCCAGCTAGAGGCCACTGCTTCCTTCCCTCGGCTTCAAGCAAAGACAGAAGAAAGTGATTAACTGAACAATGGTCCCATGGTATAATCTGCCCCTATAAATTCGGGCATAGCGATCTCAGAGGGGTAAAGGAGCACATCGCATCCATGGACGTTTCCAGGTAGGGTGCACAGGGACAACAGGACTCTGCAGCCCAGGGCCACGGCAGGAGCTCTCGGCTCAGCCACAGACGGTCTCCAAGACAGAAACCCTGTGCCATGCCTTCACTTCCCCCAGCCTGGGAAACCCAGAAACCAGCAAAGCCTCTTGCCTTCTCAGAGTGGCGGAGAATGGATCACCCAGTGAATGAAGCTTTTGTGTGCATGTTTGCATCCTCAGATAGAAGCCACTGTTATATTGGGAAATACTGCTATTGTGATACAGAACTGCATGAACCATATGGTCCGTATGCCAGGCACACATCTGCTTATACGACTGTACTGAAGGCTTGCCAACTTCTAAGTGCAGCTTGGAACCAGCTCTAAATATGTTAATCTCCTTGCAAAGATGCTTTGTATTTGCTGTGCCACACTGCAGGCTACAGTATAATGTCGCTACCCCCCCCCCAGCACTTCCTTGGCATATCCATACGTACACATCGCCACGCAACGTCCACCTACTCCCAGAGCTGGCAATGAAGGGGGGATTTCCTTAAAGGTGGGAGACTGGATTTACACAAGGAGCTTCTCAAGTTGTGTAGCTGAACTGGAGGTGCGAAGGGGTTTTGGACACACTTTTGTCTAAAGGCTGTTCATGGAGATAAGGACACTTTGGGAAATCCAGGGCGTTAAGGCAGAACCTCTCATCTGAACAGTCCCACCACCAAGATCAAGCTGAAAAAGGATAATTTTTGACCCAGCACATAATAAAGGATGGAACCCACTGACACAGCATGTGGTAGATACAAATAACACAGGTAGATTAAAAACAGATCAGACAAATTGACAGAGGGTACCTCTTAGACAGAACCAGTGCATCACCTCCTTACACTCTTAAGTGCCCACTCCATAAAAGCACTGGCGATAAGCCATGTTCACCCCCAACTTTCGTAGGTTAAGCCCACCTCAAAAAATCCCCAAAAAACAAACAACAAAAAAACGAACATGGAGCAATGTTCCTCCAAGGCACTCAACACATTTTGCAGATACGTCTCTGTGCTCCCATTTGACAGCAACGACAGACCACGGCCTCTCCAGAAGCCATCAAAAATGAGAAGGCAAAGCAGGAGGAAACCCACAGCGGGTTCCCATGGTTGGGACAACAGAGCATCTGCAGTTACAGAGGGTGATGTTGGCCCAGGGTACCGTAAGAGGCACCCGGGGCGCAGTGCCCAGAAAGCAGGCAGCGCTTGGTCCCTCCAACGAAGCACAGCAAGCAGGTAGCCTTTCCGCAGAGAGCTGGTACCTTGGAGGCCAAGCAGACGCAAGTAGAATAATTATGGTTGGAAGAGACCTCAAAGATCATAAAGTCCAACCATACACCTGACACCACCATGCCCGCTAAACCCACTAAACCATGTCTCGAAGCGCCACATCTAAACGTTTTTTGAACACCACTTTTTGAACACGTTTTTTGACTCCACCACCTCCCTGGGGAGCCCGTTCCAATGCCTAACGACTCTGACAGTGAAGAAGTTCTTTCTAATTTCCAACCTGAACCTCCCCTGGCACAACTTGAGGCTGTTTCCTCTTGTCCTAATAAGTGCCACAGCCTGGCTCCCCACGGGAACCCAGCCACTCGAACGGACAAGCCCGCTTATTAGCAACACCTCGGAGAACGCCTGCTCGCCTGAGAACCAGTTATTTCTGGAAGTGAACATTTGGGTTTTAGTCATCTGTCCGCCACAGTGCAGAAGTGGGCACGGTCCTCTCTTCTTTTACCAAGGCCAGAAAAATCCTAGCCAGACTCTAAATCAAGCACAAAGAACTCACCGCGCTCTCGATGCTCCTGGCTGTCTCCCCAAAGAGCTCTGACTTGGGGTCAGCCATCTCAGGTGTGTAGAACAGCTCTTGGCCTTCCACCTCCTCCAAGATGAGGACTCCTTGGAAAACTTTGGTAGCTATGGGAAGGAGGGGAAAGAAGACAAACGCCTTTAGTTGGCTCGTGGGCAGGGGAAAGGCGTGTGGCTGAGAGCCGTAAGGAGCGTTCGAGTCCCTAGGGGGGGAAAGGGTGATGGCAGTGTGCGGGTAGTGCCAGTGTTGGGGTTAGTCTGGATGGTTCTGGGAGAGCGCCATGGAGGATTAGTATCAGAGGGTGCTGGAGCAGATGGCAAAGACCAGGCTGGAGATGGCAGCTTTTACCATACGATTTCCTCTGAGCTCCGGCCCGGAGAGCAGCCCCCCTGCACCGGCTGAGTAACAAGAGAAAGACGTTAGCCAGAGCAGCACACAGTCAATACGGCAGGATCAGACACGTGCATGCAAAAAGGGCACAGAGGAGGGCGAAACGTGGACTCTGGACAAGGAGAAGACTTGTGCTGGGATAGGGAAGTAGAGATCCTGCCAACTAACACGCTAAGCCTAGCCTTGCAAAACCAGACTGAAACTGCAACAGGACCCCCAAGGTGTGGTTTCCTTCCAGGGGAGCTGTGGGAGGGCAGAGGCAGCTACAGAAAAGAGCCCTGCTGTGGGTAACCATCGGGGAGGTTCCCAGCAGCTCTCCTTGCGTGGGTTAAAAGCGGAAGGTGATCTCCATCCAAAAGGGGATGTCCTGCTGGAAACCCCAAGGAATGGGGACAGTTAGGAAGGACCTCAGTGAGCAGTGGGGAAACATCTGGGAGATGACCCCAGAGCAACAATTTTTAGGGTAACGAGGATGTACGTCCAGGGCAACCAACACAGGTGGCTCTGTCTTTCCTCAACATGGACAGCTTGAAAGGGGCTGTACATAGGCAAGACAGATCCCACCTACGTCATGAGAGCAGCGTGCACCCCTGGGAATCACAGCGTGAGTCGAGAAGCTCAGACTCCCTGGGAAGCCCAGCAGAGAAACAGAGGCTACAGCTGCTCTCCCTGCCTGCCCTGGCACCAAACTGGTCCTGGTCAGCCCAGCTCCCTTTACAGTGATCGACATAGATCCAAGAAATTCCCTCATCCTCCCTAGCGCCACTCGTGAGCTCTGCAGAAGCCCAGGTAAAACACTGGTGGAATTTTTAAGGTTGTAGCACTCAAGGAAGAAAGCGGTCACCTAAGCGAAGAAAACTGCAGAGTGCCTTGGCTCCCCATGTGAACAGCAGCACTGGGGCTGGCTGCTGGGGGCTGTGGCAGGTGGGCACAATGTCTGCCAGCTACCATGGCTCAGCACGTCCCCATGTCCCCCAGGGACACGCCAGCCCCCAGACTGGACACAGGAACCATGCTTGCTGCCAGCCAGGCAAGCACAGCACCGTGCTGCTCTCCCCGTCGGGCAGCTCTCGGTGGTATCTCTCCCTCTCCTGCACCCTGCAAGAGCTCAGTCTGACTCCTGACCACCGAAAAGGAGCCCGGAGCCCAGCCCCGAGGACAAACTCACCCGGACAGTTGCTGCCTTCTGCATCAGCAGCCGCAGTCTTGCCATCAGAGCAGCATCCCAGCGGGGTGTTGTAACACGTTGCCCTCTCGATGGCTGGGGTAGAAGTTACCTGGCTTTCCTCCACCTCCTCTTCCCCTGCAGGGCATTAAGAGGAAGAATTCACCAGCAAGAGGTTAAGACCTCACCTCTGTGTCAGAGAACAAGGCTGAGACACAGCTTCATTTTGTCGCGAGGGACAGGGTATGGTTTAGCCCACAATCGACCTGCCAAACCTAAGCAGCGCCCACTCACCGGCAGAGCCTGCCCCACTAGATTCCTGGTCTCCACTGATGCCCATCTCTTGGTCTCCACTGCCTTCTGCGCTGCCTGATCCAACGTAGGCAGGCTGGGTGGTGGCCAGGACCACTGGTGCAGTGGAGAGAGGGCGGACGGTGGTCTTATACGCCCCGTGAGTCATCCACGGTGTAGTGGCTGGTCTGGCAGTCGTGATGCGTCTTGTTGTAGGGTGACCTCTTTCAGTAGGTCTGGCTTCCAACAGCAGGGAGCTGGTAGCCAGCTCGGTGGGTTCTGGAGCCTGGGTGGTGAGTCGCAGCGGTGGAGGAAGGATTAATTTGTCCAAGGGCAGCGTGGGCAGAGGTGTAGGTGGTGAGGTGTGGCTTGTGTGAGTGATGGACTCTGAAATGGGCAGCAAGATAAGGTAGGTAAGGAGGGGCAGGTCTGGGAAAGGCTGGCGGTGACACCGGGAAGCATGTTGCAAACCCTCAGGCACCTGCCCCGGGCAGTGCATCTGCTGTGCCATGAATCACAGAATCGATTTGGTCGGAAGAGACCTCTGGGATCATCGAGTCCAACCTTTGCCCTAACACCCCCATGTCACGGCACAGGGAGGAGCTGCAGAGGGAAGCAGCCAGACCCGGGTCTAGCATCAGGCCAGAGAGCTGGCACTGCCCCAGCGCCGAGAGCAGCAGACACTCACCGTGGCACTGCCCCACATGCTTCACCGTGATGACCTGTCCCTGTCGGCAGGCGATGGTCTTCAGCTGGCACTGGTCCCCATAAGTGACACCATCAGAGCCACACACCTGGGAGGAAGAGGGGAAATGTCAGCTGCACCTCTGCCCTCCTCCAAGCCCTGGGCAAAACCAACCAATTTCTAAATGCTGGAAGCAGAGGCTTTGCAGGAGTTCCTCTGAGGCAAAGAGGCGATGGTCTGCGCAGAGGCACCCAAGGGTGGGCTGCGGAAGCCCAGGAGCAGAGCAGCTCACAGGTGCCAGATGGGGCACGGAGCATCCCGCTCTGCTGGGAGCCATCTACGACTCGCACGTCACCCTTCCCCATGCACCAAAGACTGTGACCCAACTAGCTTGTCTGCTTCTTGTTGGGTTGGGGGGAAGAGCCACTGGACTCCCATGCTGCCTGTACCAGCCCGACGCAGCTGAGCTAGCCACCGGTCCTCACACACCCTGCTCAGCCCCCACGGCCGCTTCTCCCACAAACCTTGGTCATGTTGGCCTCCGAGCAGAGCGGGGATGGGCACTCGCAGTGGGCAAAGCCGTTGACTTCCACGCACGAGGCCCCAAATTCGCAGCTCATTTCCTCGCAGGATTTTGGGGCTGACGGGTCTGGGGTAGGGAGAGAAGGGGGAAAGAGATGACCAACAAAGCACATACCAAACATACAGAAATAGGCTATGCTGAATCAAAATCCCTCTCTCCTCTCGGTGGGTCTTAGTTCTCCCAGGGACTTGCCAGAGTGGTTCAGACCGGTGGAAAGACAGACTTTTACCAAACAGAGAAACATTCCCTCGTGCTGTGCACGAGTCCACAGATAACAGGAACCCAGCCAAGAACGGAGGCCAGGGCCCCTTCACCCCGAACCACAAACACGCAGGGTGGGAGAGATGCTTTTCTTTCACAGGCCTATGTGTTGTCCTGCAGCAGAACCCAAGCACCCACTTCTCGGTGCCCCACGCAATCCCTCCGGTACGTGGCTCCCTCACCTTTCTCACAGCCAGTCATGCCCAGTTTGCTGCCGTTGGGGCACTGGTTGCATTTCATGCCAGTGATACCAGTTTTGCAGGAACACAGTCCGGTCATCTGCTCACAGTCGTCACGCACTGAACCCACCGGGTCACAGTTACAGGCTGGGCAAGAAAAGGAAAAAAAAAAACCAAAAGACACTGTTTTTGCTGGTGGATTTATGGAGCCAACAGCAGACTCATCCAGGTCCCCCAGCCATCCAAAAGAAGAGCGAGGAGAAGCGTCCAGGCGAGGACCATAATGCTCACGGCTACTCCCTACCCCCTGACCCCACACCAGCTGCAGAAACCTGCCTGCCCCGTCCCCCGACCACGGTCCTGTGGCTTGTGAGCCCACAGCCCCGCGTTCCCATCAGCACTTAAAGATTTATGTGGCTCCAGTAGGAAAGTTCACCCATCCCAGGAGATCTTCTGCCTCTCTCTCGTGCAGGATAAAGGAGAGGGATGGTAGAAGAGACAGTAGCCACTGGTGTCTGCCTAGCGTGAGGTCAGATGATTTTACCTACCAACATTCGTGATTCTGCTTTCAGAGCGAGACCCCACTCTGATTTAAAGACTACAGGTGAGAGCAAATGAAGTACAGCCTCGGGAAGACATTTCGGCAGTGTGATGCCTTTTGCTGTTACAAAGCTGACAACTTATTTCCAATTTAAGGTTTCTGGCTCTGACCTGCACCTACTGAATCCCGACCTGCCAGCGTTCAGACAAGCATTCCTTCCTGGAGCCGTGAGAGGAACCCAGGAGTTTGCCCGCCTGACCTCTCTCCGAAGCACAAAGCATCCTTCCTACCCTTCAGCTCCACAACTGTGTCTCCAGCCGGAGCTTGCCACCTCTGAGCACTTGGGCTCAGCCCCTCGGCCAGGGAGCCTGAGACACATCTGCCACTTGGCAGAGAGCTATCGGTGATTTCAGCAAGAGATGGGTAGAATCGTATTCTCTGTTGTTTGCAATCCCCTCCCAATAACTCCTCTTTCCCCTGGCTGTTCTGGCCTCTGCCTAGTTGGCACTTGCTGGATTTCTTAGGTGGCTTCTCCAATGCAGCTTGAAAAAAAACAGGGCTTTTCTTCCTGCTTGTTTACCGGTGTTTTTACATCGCTATTCCTGGTGAGCATCAATGCGCAAAAATACTGCCTGATTCCTTCCACTTCAAACCCATTCCTTCGCACCTGCCATGTGCGGGGACACCAGGGCTCATTCACACTGGGCTCTAGCAGCCCTGCAGAACATCTGGGCAGGGAGCAGACCCACGGAAGGAGACATGGACAAGAGGAAACTGTCTCAAGTTGCGCCAGGGGAGGTTCAGGTTGGGCATTAGGAAGAACTTCTTCACTGTTAGAGTCATTAAGCACTGGAATGGGCTCACCAGGGAGGTGGTGGAGTCATCGTTCCTGGAAGTGTTCAAAAAATGTTTAGATGTGGCGCTTCGAGACATGGTTTAGTGGGCATGGTGGCATCGGGTATATGGTTGGACTTGATGATCTTTGAGGTCTCTTCCAACCATAACGATCCTATGATTCTATGGTCTCCCAGGCAAGCTGCATCATGGGGGAGCAACCACACCTCTGCAATGCTTCGGGCCACCCCGTCTCTCTTGCCAGAGCAAGTCATCAAGCTCTGCAAAACCAGCCGCTGGAGGTGACTTACAATAGGATTGACATTTGGGCTCGTTGTTTTAAATACCACGACACCGATACCCCCCATGCCCTGAGCCCCACAGAGCCGGCCAGGGAGCCGTGCCAGCAGAGAGTTGCATGGGATGAAGGGGTGAGGAGGGCTCAGCCCTGCCCGCACTCACGCGTGCAGCCGCTCTTGCTGTCGGTGACAATGCCACGAAAGTTCCAGAAGCCGGGTTCGCAGCGGTCGCACTTCAAGCCCCCCACGCCTGGCTTGCAGGAGCACTGCCCCGTTGCGGGGTCGCAGGCTCCCCCATAGGAGCCATAGGGGTTGCATTGGCAGGTGCCTGTGAACCAAAGAGAGAGAGAGCTGAGTCCTGGTCAAGGAGATGGGAGGGGGATGCTGGGGGCTGCATCAGGGCGGAGGGACCGACTGCTCGGCCATTGAGCTGCTCAGCCAGGGCAGGAACGTGGCCTCACGTCAGGCAGGAGGAATTTTCACCGGCTGCTCTTGACGCTTCTCCTCTGCCCCAGCTACAGGGGGGAACAAAACCTTCAGGGATTAACCCGCTTGCTTTGCTGTCATCAAGAACTCCTCTCTCATTAACATCAAAGAGGAAGGAAGCTATTAGAAGTTTATTATTAATTCATTAATTAGGAACTTGATGGAGGGAAATGATCCAAAGATAGACAGAGAGGCGCTCCCTTTATCCCCAGGGAGCAGTAGAAAGGAGACGTGGGGCAGAGCTGGAGAGAAAGGGAGACCTCGGGAGCAGCAAGTAGGGTGCATGGGCACATCCCCAGACTGCCAGAGGTAAGGAAATGGCAGGTCCAGAGCAGGCAGCAATGGATAAATCTGCCCTAGGGGCTTCAAGCTGCTGGTTAAGTGGCAATTACCTCCTGATGTACGCTTGCTGGCAACACAGGGACACAGGTGGGACAGAAATGGGTGGGATACTGAATCCTAGTCAGTTGGGAAGCTGTGTCCATGGATTAGAGGGCAGTGGACAGGCTTTCCATCAGAGACACAGAGGAACGTCACTACCCACCGTCACTGGCAGGGCGATGCTGCAAGCAAAATGCTTGTGTCCTCCTTAGCATCCCCGTCACCGGCTCCTCCCTGCTCTGCCGGGCCCCCTTGGCCAGCACACACCGCACCGGCATGCCTCTGCTCTTCCAGAGCTCACCTCGGCCTCCAGCCCACCCCACGCACCCCCTGCCAGGAGATGTCCGGCCATTCTCTGGATGCTACTGCTTTTTAAATTATACGGCACATTAAACAGCACTACATCCTCATCAAGCAGGCGTTAGCCAGGCCCGTGCACGGTGCGAATCGTGTCTCGACGGGGTAATGTGTTTCCCTAACAGGCGGTCACAGCCTCAGCTGTTAAGAATTTGCTAATGCCTTTCAAAATGCATCTTCTGCTAAAGTGCCAGCTCCAATAATTATTTAATAAATATTAATGAAACATTTGCCAGCCCAGCTTCCTGCACAGTGCAGTCACCCACCAGTCGCTGGTCCTGGGGTGGTCTGCAGAAGGTCCCAAAGTGAACCTAAAAGCTCTGTCCCACCTCGGCCTGCAGTGCAAGGGCACAAGCCATATTATTGTCACTTCAGTCGGTGAAAAGCCCTAAGCTTCTCGCAATGGGTTGAGGGCACAGAGGGCATGATCTGGCCCTAGGGGCACCTTCTGGGGCATCCAGCATGGACTCAGCACCAGACAAGTTCTGAGCCACCATCCTGTCTTCTGAACCTAAAAGCTCTGTCCCACCTCGGCCTGCAGTGCAAGGGCACAAGCCATATTATTGTCACTTCAGTCGGTGAAAAGCCCTAAGCTTCTCGCAATGGGTTGAGGGCACAGAGGGCATGATCTGGCCCTAGGGGCACCTTCTGGGGCATCCAGCATGGACTCAGCACCAGACAAGTTCTGAGCCACCATCCTGTCTTCCTGCATTTCAGAGGGATTTAGACCTGGAAGTTGACTCAGGACAAGAGCATCAGTAGTAGATACAGAAGGCAAAGCATCCAGGTGTGCACGCTGTGAGCCTGGAGCTGGGGATAAATGGAGGCTTTTTGAGCCTGGGAAGCCACTAGTTAGCTAAGGAATGGGGAGGGTCCACCTTCCTTTGTTTCCCCTGGGATGGGACCCCAAGGCCCCCCCCTCCATCTGACCTCTCCTGCCTTCCAGCCATCCCTGAGGGTCCTTCATGCCCCGCCAAGGCGGGAACACAACATTCACTCACTTGGGCATCCAGCTGCACCCACGCCGAGCGCCAAGGTCATGTTGTCTGGGCAGCATCCATAGATGGTCTGGCTGCAGTGCACAACCAGGAGAGGCGGTGGGGTTGTGGCAAGGGCTGCAGAGGAAGGCAGAGAGGTACAGGTTATCTTTGGCACGCAGGCTGCCGCAGGGCAGTATTGCCGATGTATGGATCGAGCCGTTAGCAGCATTCCTGAAAAACCAGGTAGTCCTTGCAGAGATGCTGGGAACAGGCGATGAGGCGAGGTCCTACCCTTGGCCAGGGAAAGCACAGGGCATGAGACAGGAATGATGCAGTGGGGATCAGCAAACCAACACAGACACCGCTGTGTCCTTAGTGAGCGCTTCCTTGCTTCGCCGCAGGGAAGGGGCATGTGTTACTGCAGGGCAGCAGGCTGGGGATCAGCGCACACAGCTTGTGTCAGCCTGCAGGGCTGGCTGCCTTCGGGGGACTCACCACGGCAGGCTCCTTGGCTAGTGACATAGAGATCCTGGCGTTTTTCACACCGTGTCTTCTTCAGCTCACACTCGGTGGTGTAGGTCACACCATCAGAGCCACACACCTGCCAGGACAGGGAGGGAAGCTGCTCAGGGCAGTCCCTGGCACAGGAAGGCAGGTTCCCTATCCATGGGATGCCCTCTCCTGCCCAGGAAAGCATGCGGGAAGGCCACCAGGGAGAAGAGAGGAGGGGAGCGACGACTGCAACAGGCAGCCCAGAACCACTCCAGCTTGCTTACCGGGTTGCGTGGCACTGCCAGGCAGGTAAAGTCACACACGCAGCGGTCATCCTCTGCATCCTCGTCCCACCAGCCCCCGTACTGCCGGCATCGGTCCTGTTCGCACTCACTACCGTCGCCGGAGCCTGAGCCCCCTGAGCCGCACTCTGGAGCGAAGGAGGACCATGGTGAGAAACGGCTCACACCCCGCAGGGCAGAGTCAGGGGCAAGCAGAGGGGATGGGGCCAAAGCCCTCTCCCTGACCCGGGGCTCTGCCCTGGACAGGGGAAGCATCCCACAGCTGCACAGGCTCATCCAAGTCACAGCAGATTTAACCCCTTCAGCACAGGCAACCCCAGAATCTGGGCCCACATATATCAGGATGCTTACGTCCAGACCTCAGAGAAGATCCCTCTCCCTCGGAGAAAGCAGATTCTCCCACAAGACTGTGCTAAGCCTACATAATGAAAACTGCAAAGGGATGCTTTAGCAGATGGCCTGAGGTCTTCCTCTCTACAGCATCACTGCAGGAGCAAAAGCCAGGATCCTGCGACTACCAGCGCCCTGCAGGCTACCTGGAGATCAGACAGCTAATAGCCATGCACAGAAGGAAGGGTTGCCACTTGACTTAGCGACAGCTCAACTCCATGCTTTGATCCCACTCCTTCCCCTTCTCCTGCCCTCCCAAACACATCGTGCAGCAGAGAGATTGCTGCTCTTAATGCAAAACATGGAAACCAGAGCAGAGGAAGAGATGGAGTTTGCGTTTAGTTTGAAGTTTGGTTAGACAGATATTCTTAACTCTGTCCCTAGCCTAGCTGCCTCTCCGTAAGATGCTCAGAGCTCCAGCAGCAAGAGAGAGATGTTGCTGATTTCAAAGGCTTCTTAAAGGGGAAAGAGGGGGAAGGAAAACCTGGCCCTTCTTATTGAGTGATCAAAGGCTGGGATTTGGCATTACACAGAGAATTATTTAAGATCTTTTCCCAGAGGGACATCAACCTGAAATTCCCCAAGGAGGGCTGTGATCAAACACCATGTTATGTCTTCCCCTGTCCTTAAGCTCTGCCACAGCACTGAAGTCTTTCCCAGCTAGGCTACATATGCAATGAGCCAGAGGATCTCAGCTCGCCAGGTCAGCACGTCAGAGCGGCAAGGTTTACGCGCTTCTTGTACTTGGATTCAATCCAGCGTTAACTCACAGCTTTCCCCCTCCAGTGGGAAAACTCAGCAGGTTCTTAGTCCTTAGCCTGGCCAAGCAAGGCACACCCAACTCCAGGACCTTCAGTACCGAGTCAATAGTGGCCACTGGCCAGGCCCTTGAGCAGCCCCCGGGGCAGAAGGAAGCAAAGCGGCAGCCAGGCTC